GCTGAGTCAACCCTGAGCCGGTGAGATTTGAACCGCTGACCTGCTGATCTAGCAGTAGCCTGCAGTGCTGCATTTAACCACTGTGCCACCTTGGGGTCACAGAAGAACAGTCTGCTCGTTCCCATTGTTCAGACCCTTTGGGATATAGATCTTTTGCAAAACCGGCTGGCCGAAGGTAACACCCTCCCATTCTGTCCTGCTTAATCATCCCCCCCGCCCCACCTAAGGACTCTTTGTGGTTCTGCCCTTGAAGAGAGGCGGAAGAATCTGGGTTGGAGCCTTGAGAAAAGAGGAGGGACACGGGGGGGGGGGGGGTTGTAGCCCTCTTCAAAGCCCTGAAAGCCTGTCTGGTTGGAGAGGGCCCTTGGGGTGGGGGGTCGGTCTCCTTCATGGCTCAGAATCGTGGGCCCAGGCCAGAGCCAGGCTGAGTAGGAGCCTTCGGCAGGGGGCTGGATGAAGGGTTGGCCTTTGTTCAAAGGAGGCTTCCGTGAAGAGCCTGGCCGAGGGTCTTGGGGGGCCACCATTAGTCATGACTGCTGGGGAGTGGGGGGCTAATGGCAGGAGGCCTAGTTGGGTATGACCTGAACTTGGCTGTAGTTTCTGACTCTCAGCACCCAAAATAAAAGGTGGTAAAGTGGATTTTTGCGATGTGGGAAACTCTGAGCTCTCCGAAATTCTTTTCCCTTTTCCTTTGAGCAGGGATTCCTCTGCTGGGGTGGGGGGGACGAGGGGGCAGTGGGTTGGGACTGCATTGCTGACAAGCTCCAGAGCTTGAGATGGAAGAGCTGCTACAGCAGCGAAAGGGCCAGGAACCGAGAGGGATATCAATTGGGAGGGTGGAGGGTCAGACTTCTTTCAATCTCTTAATTTTGCATTTTTGATTTCAAGGTAAATCCCCCTCCAGTCGTGGTAAACACAGAAACGCCGGAGGCTCCATCTTACGTAAGTTTCCCTCACTGCCTGAATGCTCAAATCTTTCTGAACCCTCTGAGGAAAGGCACCAGCTGGGTGTGGGGCTGCCACAGTTAAAGGGGATGGAGCAAAGCCAGGATAATGGCAGCATCGGAGGGGGAAGGGGCCCCTTGGACCTTGCCCTGGTTTATAGGTCCCCCATGAAGACGGGTGGAAGCGATGGGGGAGGGGGGCACAGGCTGAAAGTGCCAGGTGGGGTAGGAGTCCCAGGAGGTGCCCTTTGGGGAGGGCTGTGCTGGGGAACGGGTGGATGGGCAAGCCCTGCGGAGGAGGGTCCCTGGAAGGACTGAAGGGAGGATGGTGGCCTGATAAATAAGATGAACCCCTTGAAGCTGCCTGGCTCCCTAGATGCACTCTGAGCTGCCCGCTGGTATTAGGGGAAAGGAAAGGTGGCGTCTGGATTCCTCGCTGTGTCCATATGCCGTGACGGATCCTAGGTGGATCTCTTTGGCTGAGAAACCCGTGAAAGGGTCTCATTAGCCAAATTTGCGCTATTCAAAGTGATAGTTCTATGACAGATAGGCTCACCGGTTCCGACTTGATGGAAATAGGTAACTAAACTTTTTATAATTTATTAATGGTGTAGTAGAGACCATTAAAAGAGGCTGAGCCTCTATCCAGAGCGTAGCTGCTCTCCTAAGATTCGGCTGTTCAAAAGGAGCTGCCTCCTCTTGTTGTGGTGGTGATTGTTGTTGTTGTTGTTGTTGTTGTTCTTCTTCTTCTTCTTCTTCTTCTTCTTCTTCTTCTTCTTCTTCTT